GTGGGGCAAGGACACACATACATACGAACATAAACATCAGCATTCACAGAGAAAGAGATGACGGATTGAACGCGACAATAACATACATGCACGCATACACACCAGACAGAGAAAAATAAACACACACACACACACACACACACACACACACACGCACACACGCACACACGCACACACACACCACACACACACACACACACACACACACACACACACACACACACACACACACACACACACACACACACACACACACACACAACACACACACAACACACACACACACACACACACATATGTCTATGGAACGCGACGCAAACTGGAAATAAGGCGCGACGGTCCGAGGAGACAACAACCCGCGAGGCTTGAACGAGTGGCTCGGTTCCCTCGCTGGCGTTTCGCGCGTGGGGGACCGCGAGTGGCCACGGTGCGTAGGCGGGGAAATGGGGGGAGCGTGGGCGTCAGGTGTTTGTGCGTTTGCTAGGTGGGGTGGGGGTGGGGGGGCGTAGGTGGAGGGAGGTGTGGCGTGGTGGTGAAAGGAGAGATGAGGGGAGAGGTTGGTAGAGTGGTAAGAGTCAGAGAGTCTGATTCAGTCGGTCGCTCTATTTATCTGTACGTGTCTGTCTGTCTCCCTTTCTTTCCTTCTCCTTTCTCTATCTCTCTCTCTGCTCTTTTCTCCTTCTCTCGCTCTTTTTCCCTTTTCTCTCTCTATCTCTCTCTCTCTCTCTCTCTCTCTCTCTCTCTCTCTCTCTCTCGCTCTCTCTCTCTCTCTCTCTCTCTCTCTCTCTCTCTCTCTCTCTCCCCTCTCCCCTCTCCCTCTCCCTCTCCCTCTCCCTCTCCCTCTCCCCTCTCCCTCCCCCTCCCTCTCCCTCTCTCTCTCTCTCTCTCTCTCTCTCTCTCTCTCTCTCTCTCTCTCTCTCTCTCTCTCTCTCTCTCTCTCTCTCTCTCTCTCTCTCTCTCTCCTCTCTCTCTCCCTCTCCCTCTCCCTCTCCTCTCTCCCCTCGCCTCCTCCCTCCCTCCCTCTCTCAGTCTGTCGCATTGCAGTGTTATTTGCCCTTTAAGAAAACCAAGGAGAGAAATACTGGCGGGGAAAATAATTGCAAAAGCCAACAAAATACCGATTTTACGAGGGGTCTCAGCCGAGGGAGGGAGAGGGGTGAGAGTGACAAGGACGCCAGACGCAGAAGGCGGGGCGGGGGAGGGCGGGGAGGGGGAGGGGGAGAGGGAGAGGGCGGACGGAGGAGAGGGACGGGTCGAGAAGTGTAGCATGACGTCCCCGGGGTTTTGCCTGGTGTGGGGAGGGGGCGAAGGGGGGAAGGGGGCGAAGGGAGAGAGGGGGAGGGGAAGGGGAAGCATGTCGGTCGCGCTGTCTCGATCTCGACCTTCATCTTCTCACCCTTTCTTGTCATTTTCGGTGTCATTTGTATTTATGTCCCGATTCATGTTCTCGTTTTCGTAATCTGTTTGATTTTATCGCCATCACTTTCACCCTCGTTCTCCTTCTCGTCCTCATTTTCTCCTCATTTTCATTCCTATCCTCATCTCACACTCGCGCTTATTTTTTTAAATCCTTATCTAATCCTCATTCTTGAACTCACTCACGTCCTCCCCCCCCCCTTTCCGTGAAGACTGCTGCACTTGTAGAGAAACCCATCTTTCACCTTCCTCTTTTTCCTCCTTTTTCTTCCATTTTCCTTGTTCCGCTTTTCCATGTGTGTTCCCTTCCCCTTCCTAGTTACCTCTTCTAAGATCCTTCTTGGGTCACTTTCCCTCTTTCTTAATCTCTTTTCACATTTTTCCGGAATGCTCGCTCTCTTCATTTCTTTTTCCTTTCTCTCACTTCATTTCTTTTTCCTCTCTCGCTCATCTCGTTTCCATACCTTCTTTCCCCTCCTCGTTTCTTCCCCCTTCTTTTTCTCTGCCATTCTCTTCCACCTTTCCTCTCTCTGCATTTTTCCTTTCCCCTCTCCTCCCTCTTCCCCTTTCTCTCCCTTCGCTCCTTTTCCCCTTTCCTCGCTCCTTTCCTCCTGTCCCTCTCCTACCCTTTCCTCACTTCCTCTCCCTTCCCCTCTCCCCTCCTTTCCCCCCTCTTCCCTATTCTACGCTTTTCTCTCTCTCCCACTTCTTTCTTCACTTTCTTCTTCCCCTTCCTCTCTCCTTCCCTTCCCCTTCCTCTCTCCTTCCCCATTTTCCCCCCTTCTTCTCTCCTTCCCCCCTTCCTTCCTCCTTCCCCCCTTCTTCCTCCTTCCTCCTTCCTCTCTCCTCCCCCCTTCCTCTCTCCTTCCCCGTTCCGTTCCCCGACCGTCACTTCCGCACCCAAGTCTCGAGGAGCAGCTGTTTTCGGCCGCCCCGACGCCCGACCAGCAGCGAGTACCGACGAGCGAGCGAGTGGGACCGACCGACCGTTAGCCCGACGTCGACGCGTTGGGGAAAACTTATTCCAAAAAAAAGAGGTTGTGTGATTGGGTTGGCGGGATTCACAAGATTGGGTTGAGATTGGATTAGTAAGATTGAGAGAGAGGGATTTGGTGATTGGGTTTTCAAGATTGGATTATAAGATCGGTTTTTTTTTCCGTAAGGTAATGGTGGGAGAGTCGGAGCAGCTGTTCGGAAGGTGTGTGTGTGTGCGTGTGTGTGTGTGGGGGGGGGGGGATTGCAGAATTCGTCTGCGATTAGCGTAAATTTGCGACTGGCTAATCCGTAACTCAAGAAGGCTTTTCCTGCCATATGCAGTGCTTGGTTTACGAGTGGTTTGTTTACAATTTACGAGCGATTGCTTTTGTGAATGAGTTGTTTACACTTTGCCAGTTTGTTCCGGTTTGCGAGTGATTGATCTTGAGGTTTACGAGTGATTGGGCTTATTGTTTGCAAGCAATCGGTCTTGCTGTTTGCGATTCCTGCCTCGTGCAGTGGCTTTCTTATTCGGGGGTGACGCAATATGTATCCACCTATGCAACTTCTGCAACTTGGCAAGCCTCATCTCTCGAGGATTACTGTTTTTATTGTTTTAGGTCTTCTCTTTTCCTCTTTCACTTTTTCTTCGATCTTTGTTCTCGTCTTTTTGTTTTTGTTCCTGTTTCTCCTTCTTTTCTCGTCTCTCAGTTTTTTCCTTTTTCTCACTCATTGTTTCTCTCTCTCTCTTTCCTCTCTCCTTTCCTCTCCCCTCACCCTTTTTCATTTCTCCTCTCCCTTTCCCTCATTCCTTTCTCCTCCCTTTTCCCTTTCCTTTCCCCTTTTCCTCTTTCATTTTATCATCCTCTTCTCCCATCCGCTCTTTTCCTTTCTTCTTATCCCCTACTCTCATTCTCTCCTCTCCTCCTCCTCTCCTCCTCCTCCTTTTCCTCCTCCTTCCTCCTCCTCCTCCTGGTCTGGCTCTCCGTGGCTGCAGCTGCTCCTCGAAGGCTCTGTCGGCCTCGTGCGCTGCAGCTCCTCCTCCTGGCCGCGACGCCTTAGTCTCGAGGTCGAGCGTCGAGCGTCGCTTGTCCTTCGCTTGTTTTCCTTCTTTTTTTTTTTTGTTTTTGTTTGTTCTTGTATTTTTTAATGTTTGTTTTGTTTGTTCTTTCTTCTTTTTTTGTTTTTGTCTTTTTTTGTTTCTTTTTCATTTTTGTTTTGTGTTTGTTTGTTCTTGTCTTTGTTATTTTTTTTGTTTTGTTTTCTTTGTTCTTGTCTTTTTATTTTCTTTTTCTTTCTTTTTGTTTCGGTTGTTTGGTTTATGGTTTTATGTTTGTGCGCTTTTTTAAGTTGTTTTTTGAATAGATCTATTTTTGTTGTTGTCGGGAGGTATTTTGTAGGGTTAATTTTGCGTGTCGTTGGGGTTTTAAATTTCGGGAATGGCGGGGACGGCTGATGAGGTTTCGTATTATTTGGTGATTTGTAATGGGGAAAAAAGGCAGTAATTATAGTGTATTGCACGCTGCGAAAAGGGACGGAGTTATTAGTTCTGATGAGTCACGGTGAATCACCCTCATTACTCATTATCCTCATCTCACAACTCATGTCTATTTGCCTGTGTAAGACAACGAAAATTGTTATTTATTTCAAGATTTTTCATAATATTTCATGATTTTTTAATAATTTTGTATTTGTATATTTTACGATGACCATTGTATTATATATTTATATATTTTATATATATATTATTTTCTATTTGTATATTTTACGATGATCATTATATTCTACTTCATGATTTTTTTAATTATTATATATATATTATTATATATATATATATATAATATTTATATATTATATATTATATATTATATATATATATATATATATATATATATATATATATATATATACATATACATATATACGATGAACATTTTTAAAATCCACGTTGACAAAAGGAACGAAAATATTTTCATAATGTGCATATGTGTACACATTTTTTCCACGCTGTCGTTAGTGTAGCGCGACGGACGGAAGCACCAAACGACGGACAGCAAGATAGGATAGGAAAGGATTTTTTCCTTTGTCGAGTAGAAGGATTTTTTTTTTTGTCGAGAAAATATTTTTTTTCTATTGTCGATTAAAGGATTTTTTTTTTCATTTTTCGAGTAAAGGATTTTTTTCTATTGTTGAGTAAAGGATTTTTTTCTATTGTTGAATAAGGATTTTTTTTTATTGTTGAGTAAAGGATTTTTTTCTTTTGTCGAGTAAAGTTTTTTTTTTTTTTTTTTTTTTTTTTTTTTTTTTTTTTTTTGTCGAGTATCAAAGGACTGTGGAGAGGAGGGGGCGTGTGGTTGATGCGAAGGACGTGCAGGTGTAATAGATATTCTCGTGGGTTACTTTTTTGGATTTAAAAGTGACTTGATAGATTGTTACTTCTTCGATAGACAGTTATTGCTTTTGTGGGATTTCTTTTTTTGGTGGGTTTGTAGTTGCTTTTAAATTATTTTGGAAAGTGGAGGGGTTTATGGAGGGGAGTGGATTCCGTGTTTTTTTTTTTTTTACTATGCACTATTTATTTATTTTTTGTTTTTCCCTTGTTTCATCAG